TCTAGTTTAAGTGTCCTTTTATCACAAAGTCCAGTTTGTCAGGGTGGCAAGATAGACTGGAGAGGCTAATGGGACTGTCTGACACCATGGTAAGACTGTTACAGTGATCCAGGAGTTCACATTTGGTGAAATCCAATTATAGAACACACCACCAGTTTGGGGTATCTGCCCCGTTTTCTGACAGGCTGCCCTAAGGTTGGCACACTAAGTTTGTGAGCCACTCCACACAGCATGACAAATACATTTTAACTTAAATTTTTAGAACCTTAATAAACAAGGGAAAGGAAAATTGATGGCCATTGTAGCAACACATACCTCAACCATGGCTCTCACAGGTCAGTGTATGTGAAGCTGTGGTTGTCCATGCTTTCCCACTGTGTGGAGTGGAAGGGGTAGGTGTGCTGGCCCTGCGGCCATGTGGAATGCTGAAGAAGGGGTAAGGAGATGCTATGCTGAAGTTCTCCACCAACTGCAATGGCAGTTGAGCCCAAGATTGTTGAAACTAGAGGTCCACAAGAGTCTGCAGCATCTGCATTTGTTGACAGAGAAGCTCCATTGCCCTCTCCTTTTTCTGTTGGAACGTGGGCCTCTCTCCTCTCCACTCTTTCCTTTTCCAGGCTGTCTCCAATATTCACCCTCCAGACCACCTGTTCAAGTTCTGATGCAGCAAAGAACATGTCATCCCGCATCCTCCTTTTTCTCCTCCTTATGTGGGTGAGTTGTTCTGCTGACATGGAAGGTGTACCACTCGAGGCTGCAATGGCTGCAGCTACAGATAAAACACAGAGATATCATTGTCAACGTAGTATGTACAGAAAGCAAAACTTAAGATTCATAAATCCCCCCTTGTCTTGATCCCCTAAAGTGTGAAACAAGATATGCTTATTGGTCCTTCTGCTTTGGAGTGCTTGATTAAGACACAGCTGACAGCCATGGTGACTGTGACCTGCCAGTGGGGAGGGAAATGGAGAGGGAATTGCTGGGATGCATGAAACTGAGTATAGGGTACTGGGACTGAATAATGGCAACATTTTCTAGTGATAGTGGTTGTTTTAGCTGATATCTCACCCCTGGGGGTGACAAAGGCAGAGAAAGCACAGCTGCTGCTGACATCCCAAAGTTGCCCAGGCCCATATGTCACTAGCCTGTTTAAGGCAATGGTGTCATGCTGTCTGGAGTAGCTCACAACCATGAGTGCCTATCTCAGAGCAGATTGTCAAAAACAGGTCAGAAACCCCAAACTGGTGGTATGTTCTATAGTTAAATTTAACCAGAACTCCTGGGTCACTGTAATAATCTTACCATGGAGTCACAGACAGTCCTCTTGGGGTCTCCAGTCTACCTTGCCACCCAGGCAAGCTGGGCTTAGTGATAAATGGTCACTTCTATTAAAAAGAAAAAAAATCAAAGTATTCAGGTTACATCCAGTCCCAAGAGACCAGTCACTCCAGGTCGATTTGCATCCTAGTTCTCATACCAAAGACAACACTGGTAGCCAATTCTGTACTAAACTAACTGAAGCTTTATTAGCTAAGAAAAAGGAATGAGAGTTATTGAGAGATTAAAGCAAATAAAAATATATGTACAGGTGAGTCATTCTATAATTTCAAAAGATAGCAGAGATGTAGTAATCTGCCAGCTTCCCAAAAGTCTTTTAGGGCTGTGCAGAGTAACTCTAGGGATCTTTGTCTTCTTGTTTGGTTATTCTGCGCAGTTAAAAGCCAAACAGTCCAGAAATGAAGAATTTTTCTGTGTCCATATTTATAGCTTCTCACAGAAACCAAACTGACTACAACAGTTGCCACACAGGTCCCTTCATGGGGGAAAGGGAGGGAGGAATGCATTTAAAGTCTGATCATTGATCTCGCACACTGGCTCATTTGCGTTTAACGAACAGTATTTAACATCTTGTTAGAGACCATCATTTGCATTACACAGGGCTTTTTCCCTGTTTGATAAGTTACATAGTCACAGACTATGCAAATACTTGCTATCACTTTATAACAGGGTATTGAGTGAGAACAATACATGCAGCATCCTTAAGCATTTTATAAAACACTAAACACATCCTTATGAACTTAAGATCTAATAAGCAAGACTGGTTCCTAGCTATGCATCTGTAAGCTTTCAGTGAGGCATGGGGCCTTGACATGAGCTGGCATCTGGTCTGCTAGCATCACAGGTGTCTGCTGAAGTTATTGATGAATGGCGTGAGAAAGTGTCCTACTGCAGAGGAAGAAATAAGGCTCTCATCCACAGAAACCTTTAGGAGAGGATTGCAGAGTACCTTCATGGAAGTTTCATCGAGATCTCTCAGGATTCAAAGGACATCCCTGGGTACATAAATTGCTCTGTATGCATCTCCACCCCACCATAACTGTAAAGGGGAATGAAAAGCCGATAACTCTACCTCTCTGTTGGACCACTGCTTTTTCTAGTACAAGTAGATTAATTAAAAAAAATTGGTAGCTGCGTCCTAATAAGTTCAGGGAGTCATAACTGTAGTGGGAAATAAATTTAAACACTTATCCAAGGTTTCTTCCCCTGCATCTGGCTCACCAGTGCTCAATTGCAGGGACTGGCTTTACTGCAGTGGAGGTCCTGGCTTGTGGCACAGCCTAGTCACCTGTCCCCCATACTCCTCCTCCTCGCTGTTTGTGGCAGAGGCCTGTGACTTGGGCTTCTTGGAGGTTTCCACAGTGGCGTATAGGCTGGTAGTAGGGTCTCCGCCAAGTATGGCATGCAGCTCTTTGTAAAAGCAACAGGTGTGCGGCTTGGCACCAAATCAATGGTTGGCCTCCCTGGCCTTCTATAATGCCTGCCATGGTTCCTTGGCTTTCATGCAGCACTGCTGCTCGTCTCTGTCAAAACCCTTTTCTTGCACCCCTGAGTAATCTACTGTAGATGTTGACATTTCTATGGCTGGTTCAGAGCTGTGCTTGCACAGCCTCTTCTCCCCACAGGCCCAGGAGATCCAGTATCTCTCTCTTGTTCAGGCAGGAACACGACTGGAGAGCCTAGCTACCATGGGCAGCTGGGCCATTGCACACAATGGAGAGCTTCTGGGTATGCTCGCTCACTGAACAATCAAGAAAAGGCATTTCAAAAATTTACAGGGGTTTTAAGGGGGGGAGGGAGGCTTCTGGTCTACATGTCCCTGGGCAGTGGAATTCACATTTGTGACCAAAGTAGTCAGTGTCAGGCAGTGTTGGACAGTGGCTGGAGGACTGTTAATGTCAACACAGGTAATGCAGTGTCTACTCACACTGCAATGACCTACGTACATCAACTGTGGCTCAATGCCACTCAAGGAGATGGTTACTATGTCAGCATAATAGGGCACTTACAACAGTGGGAGACAACTTTAAATGTAGATATGTGCACAACCAGGTCAATGCAAGGCAGCTTACATCAAACTAACTTTGTAGTGTAGATCAGGCTTAAAACTAGGATATTTATCCAAAGTAGTGTTTCAAAGGGGATGAGGAAGGTCATGGTGGAGCAGGAATTCAGTAGCACCTAAAGGATATCAGTGCTTTCCTTGTGACATAACTAAGAGAGCCTTCTCCCTAAGTTTATACACACACACACTCCTCTAACCTGTGTAGGTTAGTCACTTTATCACTGACCCCCCTAGTACTTATCCTACTGGCAAATAACCTTCTCTGTTACCATCAGGTAAGTGCAGATGTTGTATAAATCTATTGTCTACGGATATCTCTGGTCCAGTATTGGAAAAAAGCTTTCTTCAACTGTCAATTGGGTCCTGATTTTCCAAAAAGAGGCTGTTTCCTACTTGTAGTAACAAACTGAATTAGTTTCACATTGCAATAAAGTAAATGTATATTGCGGACAGTATTTTTCTGTTTTTTCCTTTATTATTGAAGATGTGTTTGAATAAGGTTCTTTTCAGTTTTATCCTGAAGAGAAAGAATACCTTGATATTGTTTATTCCTACAGAAATGACTGTTATAAAAATGCAGCATTATAAATTTGTTGCAGGAGTAAATAAGATAATGAGCGTGAGGGGACAATCCCTTAAATATAAATACTGTAGCTCTGGTAATTCAGAATGGTAAAAATTAGTGAAACGTTTCAGCTGCTTTTTGTATTTTAGTCATATATATATTATATGGAAGTCGTGTGTGTGTGCGCACGCGCAAGACTTCCACAGATAGAAGTCCTTTTACAAGAAGATTGAAAGTATCTACCTCTCCCTATACTGATTATCATATGCCCAAATGTAACATTGTTACAGAACTATTGGAGTACAGTCCAGTGCTTAAAAAAGAGGTTTTTGCATGATTAATTTTTCAGATGGAATTATACAAAATCAGATTATAAATTTATAGCATGGACTTCCACATTCCTCTCTTCCCCCCCTTCCCTCCCCCAAAAAAACCACTTTAGAAGGGCCTGGGGACATGATCTGCCCCTAATATTTTTTGTAATTTTAATGAAAAGTTAGTCGGGCCGAGGGACGTACTGGCCACCGCTTCCAGCGGCTCCCATTGGCCTGGAGCAGCGAACCGCGATCAGCTGAACCTGTGGACATGGCAGGTACACAAACCAGCCTGGCCCGCCAGGGGCTTTCCCTGCACAAGCGGCGGAACAAGTTTGGGAACCACTGGTCTAGAGTATTTACGTGAAGAAAACATTGGAACATTTTTCATACTAGAAATATCAGGCTCTAAATTAAGCGGTGAATGGAAAAACTAAAGTTTTCAAAATAAATTTTTTTAAATGTAATTTATAGCAATTTTGTAACATTCTTTTAAACATGCCAATCAAGGAATAAAATCTACTCACTCACCATTACAATAATGTAAGTAAAATGTTGCAAGGGTGAACAGGCGGAAAAACATAGCATTAGTGTTAATGTGGGAATCTTAACCATTCAACTCTCATTACCTTTAAAAGTTTATTCTTTTGGTTCATTATAAACTTGTTTATTGCTAAAAGCTTTGTGAAGACAACTCAAGTAAGATCAAATACACAAGTGATATAAAAGTATTTATTCACATAATTTACATATAGAACAGACTGCTTTCTTTGAACCCGAAAGCTTACACATGAACAATATTACATAGGATGTTTGTCAAAGAACTCTTCAAGGAAAACAGTCCTTTACCACATCTTAGTAGAAATGATAAACCATTGATCAGTGGAACTTAACACAGGATGCTGTTCTGTTTCCTTCCATCACTATGACTTATACAACTTTCACATCCAACACGGAAAACACACGTTATCTTATCTCTCTAAAGAAATGGGATTCAAAAGAGATTGATAACAAAGTGCACATGGTTTGCTGTGAAAAAACAACAAGAACAAGGTCTGTTGTCCCTTCCGTCTATTAGGGATAAATAAGGCACCATACATTTTGTTGTCTCTTTATAATTTATGAAATACAAATTATTTTTGCCTTGTCATTTGAATTGCATCTGAAATACTATGAATGAGTCTTTACCACTTTAGTAGGTACTTAGAGTACGTTATTTTATAGCCTCCTCCTCCACAAATCAATTTTGAGAACATATTAGTGGGGGTGATCTAACTGGTTTACCTGATTCTAAAATGCAACATGCCCCATGTAACAATAACTAACAAAATATTTGCATACAACAGAGGTCCCCCATGTGGTGCCCGCGGGCGCCATGGCGCCAGTCTACTGGCAGCATTTCGGCGGCGACGCTTCTTGGCGTTGCTGCTTCTCGGCTGCTTGTCCGGTGCCCACACTCCTCGGCGGCTAGTAGTCCGGCGCCCGCCACACGGAAAGGTTGGGGACCACTGGCATAGAAGAACCAGACTACAAAATGTACAGTAGCCTTAGCTACATGTATACAATGTTAATCTATTACTGCAATGTTTACAGTAGAAGGAGAAAAAACATAAAAATGGGTATTTCAAGTTAAAATGAAATAGTCAAACCATGAGACACTGGCCTGAAACTGGACATGTGATTGGATCCATTTGTACAGTCATTTTTTAAATTCAAGTTGTCATTTACTTGAAAAACAGGGGAAAACCATTCTATTGTAGGATAGTTTTCCCTTTCCACCACAGCATTAAAATTGTAATTGCTTCTCACATTTAGCTGCTATAAAGTAAGTGATCTGGGCTTCTACTTTAATGATTCCTAATAGCTGGTCTATTTTTGATTATTGTTCCAGTCTTGAGGGCACCTTTAGAAGCTACAAGTCAAAAAATAACTTCTGAAAGGATAAAAATTCAAGTCTCAGCAAGCGATTCAAGAGAAATCTGATAATCATTATAATTAGAAAATAAATTATGGATTTGCTAGTAAATCACCATCCAGCTCTACAGAGTAGATATTTCTTTGCAGAGGGTGGCAAAAGAATCTTAAAAAATCATTTGAATACCAAATTTAGCAAAATATTTTAAATTACTCTCTCATTAAGAATCATTTTTGTTTTGGCAAGACCCATTCACAAAATACAAATTAAAGGTAGAAGCACAACCTTAAGGTAAACAAACATATACTGTACTATACATTTCTGACTGACCTGTGGCAAGTGAAGCTAGAGTAAAAAAATAACTGGTTTGAAAGGGTGTCCAGAACTGTTAAGGAACATAATTAGGGATATATTCATCTTGAGGTATGTGACATTATGTAAATCCCATGTTCTGAAAGTCTATTCTGTATCCTTGGTCTCCAGTGGCGAACATTTAATCAAGGAGAAAAATGCAGACTTTATCTAAGTCTAATTTAAAATATCTACCTACTCATTTCAAGAAGTCAAGACTTTAAGAATGAAAATATATTTATCTTTTAGAAGAATGCCTGATTTTAAGATTGAGACCATGTGACGCTGTTACCTTGTCACGGCAATTTTTCCTTATTACATAAGTGGAAAATTAGTCTTCACGTGACCAACCTAATATCACCCTAAAAACTAAGTTACACTGTTCTAGTGAACAAAACTTAGGAAACATGAGGAAAACCATTCTAACTTAACAGTTTCAAAGTAGCAAATCCTCAAAGCATCCTCACTCAATTGTTCTGGGTTCGATTCTGCTCGCAGTTACTCTTGATTTATACTAGGGAAATTCCACTGAAGTCAATAGAGTTACATGAGTATATAAAAGACAGTGCAAGAGCAGAATCCAGCCTATTGTATTAAATATTTAATTTAGAAATAAATCAGCATTTACAATGGGAGATACGTTAATCTTTTCCTCACCCCCAAATCAGATAGATGAAAAAGGATTAACGGGATAGCATCTTTTAATAAATTAAAATTAAATAAATACAGTCTCATGTTTATCTCTGTACATTTAAAAGGGATTAGATATTTTGTTTTCAATCAGGGCCTTTAAGCTTATGTACCTGTGAATTTGTCATTACAAAAATACATAATTTGGAGAAGACTATAAAATAGCCGATAATAAAAAACATTTCTATGTATTTACTACACTAAGCTTTTAGAATTGCTTCTCTATCTATAGAGATAAATATGAAGGTTAATTCTCCTTCCTGGAGTGGAACTTCACAAAAAGAAGTATAGCAAATGACTTTTATAACCAGCCCCACAAGCTTCAGCATTATGATTTAAAGGGATATTGTCACGTGGATAGTCATTCATTCATTGCACTTCTAGAAACTAGTCATGCACCCAGCATCTGCATCTTGAAAAGTTACAGTGTAAGCCAACAGCTACCGTTTAGTCTCATCATGCCAATCTAGTTCTTAAATGTTTGAAAATGCTCAGATCGCCCAGAATGAGAAAAACTGATTTTGTCTTCCAACAATGCTTGTTGTTCTCCATTAGTGAGGCTGGTAATAAATTAGGACTAAGGAAGAACAAAGGAGAATTCACAGCAACTCATCTATATACAGTTCTGCTGTTACACTGCATTCTTGGATCCCAGAGGTTTATTCTGAATCATCCACCTCCATAAAGATATCACTGAAAAAATATTCTGAGATTCTGGTTGGCTCCTCTTCTTTCTCCTGTTGTTTGGTATAGGAAGCTTGCTTTTCAGAATACTCCGAAGAAGCCTACAAAAAAAATAAAAGGCTGCATTTACAGGTTTGACATCTACTGAGATTTGTTCTCTCATATGCATCTATGCCTCATCTTGTGTACAAACTAGAGTCTCGTGGTAAGTTTCAGCACTCACTTAAAATGTAAAAACAATAGGCCTCCCACAACCAACATAATAAAGATTATTTCCCCAAGCAAAATTGTTTCAGATAATAATTTGGGATACACCAAGTAAACTGTAGTACAACCATCCTTCAAATCTTATATTCATTTACTTGGTCAGGTAGATTAATTTTAACTGATCAAGCTATTACCTGTAACAATTATTCTTTAAAGATATAAAACGTAATGGAATCCTACTCTTGAGTGGATACCCTGAGCATAGATCTACAAAATCTCACAGGAGGGGTTCACATGCTTTTTCTGCTAAAGTAATAATGGAAATTTGATCTCAAGCAACAGTGGTAAGTAAACTCGTACAGAGAAGATCATTTTTCAGAGTAGCAGCCATGTTAGTCTGTATCTGCAAAAAGAACAGGAGTACTTGTGGCACCTTAGTAGACTAACAAATTAATTTGTTA